GCCGCAGGGAGCAGCACGAGGCGCTCTAGGCCCCCTGACGCGGGCCCTGCCCCCGCCGGCGCTGCAGCGCTGCGCCGGCGCCACGCGGCCGGTGCCCGCTGGCCAGCCGCCCCACGCGCCCGCCCTGGAGGAAGGCGCCAGCGGCCGCGCCTGGCGACCAGGCCGCAGCGCGCCAGGCGCGCGGCGCAGCGCGCCAGGCGCAGGGACCAGCGGCCACCTGAACACCTGGCCTCCCCTCGCTGCTGGGCGCCCGCGCAGAGCTCGGCGATTGTGCGGAACTGGTCGGGCGCGTGTGCGCTCGCGCTGGGCCGTGCTGGCGCGAGCGGCGGCGGTGCGCGGGCGCGGCCGCCACTGGGTGCTGGGGGGCGGCTGGCGCAGGCGGGCAACCGGCCGTCGCGGCCGTCCGCGCCATCCTGGACGTCGCCGACCTGGTCCCAGGTATGCGAGGTATAGGCCCTGGCCGGCGCACCCCTTTCTCTTTGGGGGTGGCTCGCCGCTGAGCGGTGGGTCACATCTGCGGTGGGGGGGTTGCGCCAGCTCCCATTAAAGTGCGTCGGCGGCAAAGGGACCCCGCGTGGCGCGCAGGAGGAGGAGGAGGAGGAGGAGGAGGAGGAGGAGGAGGAGGAGGAGGAGGAGGAGGAGGAGGAGGAGGAGGAGGAAGGAGGGGGAGGAGGAGGAGGAGTGAGGGAGGAGGAGGAGGAGGCGGAGGAGGAGGAGGAGGAAGAGGAGGAGAAGAGGAGGAGGAGGCGGAAGAAGAGGGGGAGGAGGAGCAGCAGCAGGAGGAGCAGGAGGGCGGAGGAGAAGAAGAAGGAGGAGGAGGAGGAGGAGGAGGAAGAACAGGACAAGCTCAGCACCTAATGGGTGCCGAACGTAAAGATGGGAAGATGAGAGGTAGGAGGAGAAGGAAGAGGAGGAGGAAGAGGAGAATAATGAGGATGAGGAGGAGGAGGAGGAGGAGGAGGAGGAGGAGGAGGAAAAGGATAAATATAAGCAGGAGAAACAGGAGGAGGTGGAGGAGGAGGAATAGGAGGAGGAGGCGGAGAGGAGGAGGAGGAGGAGAAGGAGCGAGGAGGGACGAGGAGAAGGAAGAGGAGGAAAGAGGAGGAGGAGGAGGAGGAGGAAAGGAGGATGAGGAGGAGGAGGAGGACAAGATAGCAGAAGAAGCAGAAGGAGGAGGTGGAGGAGGAGGAGGAGGAGGAGGACGAGGAGGAGCCAGCCACGGGCGGCGCCCACCGCCCGCGGACGGGCGAGGCCTCGATCTCGCTCCTCGTGACAGGTGGGTCGCTGGTGGGCGCGTCGCCCACGGCCTCTGGGGTCTGGAGGGCGAAATGCTGGTGCGCGCGACTCCCCGCTGCCCCCCGTCCTCTCCCTGCGCCTCCTCCCCGTCCTTTTCCTCCTGCTCCTCCTCCTCCTCCTCCTGCTCCTCACCGTCCTCCTCCTCCTTCTCCTCTTCCTCCTCCTTTTTCCTCCTCCTACTCCTCCTCCTCCTCCTCCTCCTCCTCCTCCTCCTCCTCCTCCTCCTCCTCCCTCTCCCTGCGCCCCCCTCCCTCCGGCGGGGGCGTCGGCGCGGCCGCGGGCGCGGCGGAGGGTGACCCCGAAATCCTCGTTGACCGTGGTTTGTTATCTAGGAGTGATAAACCTAGGTTCATTATGTTCAGATGATATCCTCATTAGACTACTGTCCCGTGGATGGATCGGTGTCCCCCCTCCTCGCCGGATCATTTTTCATTCCAGAATAATGAAGCTGGGGTCGATATTCCGACATAATGAGCCAGGCCTCCGCCAAATCATCATCATTCTGGGATAACAAATCTGAGTTCATTATTCCCAGAACATTACGGGCCCCAATTTATGATGTTCAAAAGATAACGGACTAGGGTCAATATTCTGACATAGTGAATCCCAGTTGGGAGGCGCGGAGTTGGGGGAACAAATAATTCGAATCATTCTGGAAACAGGAATCCGGATTCTGAATATCCGCCTATGGCTCCAGCGACGCCCCTCAGCCTCCATTATTTCATGCCAGAACAATAAACCTGGGTTCCTTATTCCCGAGACATTCCCAGAACATTATGAACCCAAGTGGATATCTTGATGGGGTCGAAATTCCCGGAACATTATACACGAAGGTTTATAATGTTCTGGGGCGAACATTATGAACCCCAACCCAAAATCAGTATGTCCCGGAACATTAAAACCCAGGTTCATAATGTTCCGGGGAACATTATAAACCCTGGTCAATAATCCTTGAAGTTTGTAAGCCCAGATTGATGTCTTTTTGGGGTTCGTCCTGCTGATCCGCCTTCTGCGTGCGAAGCCCGACCTGCTTGTCAACATTCTCTGCGTGGGACGCCATGGCCGAATAACGGGCCTGGACATTCGCCTGCGCGGCGGCGATCGCTGCCATAACCTTGGCATGAGAGGCGTCGACGTGGGACTTGAGTGCAACATCTTCAGGGTCGGGATGGTCGTAGCCATCACGTTGCGGAGAAACGGGGGCGCCAGTGCCAGCAGCAAGATAAGCAGCAACCTCGCGCCTCTCGCCGTCGTCGGCCGGGATGAAGCCTTCCTCGTGTTCGTCAGCAACGGTCGTCTGACGGCGGCTGTCATGTCCACGAGAAGTCTTCTGGGGATGCACTGTTGCAGCGCGTCCAATCCCATCAGCCATCTGGCGCGCGCGCAACACTTGTGATGCATCCTTGGCTACACGGGTCGCCGACAGAAGGAAAAGACAAAACAGGAAAGCACTGAGGTGTCCGTCGGTGCACGACGCACTGCATCGCTCAGAAGAGAGCCGCCCGCTCAAAATGGGACCTGTTCCAACTTAAGGCAACATGGCTACGGACCTTCTCCTCTTCCTCCTCCTCCTCCTCCTCCTCCTCCGTTCCTTGCCAATGCACACAGAAAACTTCTCCGTGTCGCGCACCGAGGCCAGTCGAAAGGGCGGGCCAAGCGTTTCGCCTGAGATTTCCTCGCCGCGTGTGACCCTGAAACTTAACAAATGAAAGCAGCTCCACATATGGCGGGTGGTTTTTAAAATGTGGCTCTCGCCTTTGCGCCGCGCACATTCGTTATAAACTGTGCAAGGTGTTCAGCGGATTCAGGGCGGGTCGTTTTCAAACTGCGGCTCTCGCCTTAGCGCCGCGCGTACTCCTCATGGACATTTGCAAGAGTTTCACGGACTGAGGGCGGTTCGTTTTCAAAGTGTGACTTTCGCTTTGGCGCCGCACACACTCGTCTTGAACATTTGCAAGAACTTCGCGGATTGAGGGCGGCCCCCTTTCAAGCTTTGGCTCTCGCCTGTGCGCCGCGCGCATTCGTTCTCAAAGTTCGCAAACGTTTCACTAAGTCTCGTGGTTAACGTAACAGACACGACGTGCTGGACTGATTCATGACTGTCATGGCGCAACAGTTACGCTGATTCGCTGTATTGGGATCCCAGGAGCGGTGTTCTGGCACGATTCACCATCGCCAAGACATCACAATTAGGTTAACTCGTGGCGTTGTTGAAATCTGGAGAATGGTGTTTAGGCGCGCCTCCAGATCTTTACACTGTTGCTCTTCTAACGGGGCAAGTCCCTCGATTTGAATGAACCCTGACAGGGGCCTATGAACAGGAAGCTTGGCAGGAGGGTGTATTCCAACATCTCTTAGGTTTACACTGGTCCTCCTCCTCCTCCTCCTCGTCCTCCTCCTTTTCCTCCTCCTCCTCCTCCTCCTCCTCCTCCTCCTCCTCCTCCTCCTCCTCCTCCCCGCCTCTCACTCTTCAAAAACTCGCACGAATAATCGATCAACACCGATGAGCAACATCGCCGCCAGCGGCGTGCTGAATGCTGAAGAACTGGGTCCTCGCGATCCGCGGACGGCGCTTGCGGGACATCTGCAGCTCGGGCTTCAGGGCGGGGTTGGCCAGCCGCCCAGGAAGGCGGGGCAGCCTACGTCTCGCGGTGGCATCGCCCCTGCTGGCCGCAATGAGGGCGCGGCCAGCCGACGCAGCGCCAGCAGCCTGCCGATCCGCAGCGGCGATGGGCTTGGACGCGTGTCTCAGCCCGAGTAGCGCCAGAAGATAATGCGCGCCTTCGCGGCACGTCCTTCGGCAAGCAGCCGCCCAGGCCAGGCGCTGAGGCTCCTTCTCCACGCGCGACCCACCAACGAGATGCCTCACTGCGCACCACCCCAGGCTGAGGTGACGGGCAGGGACGCGGGCTGCGGCCCAGGTGGCTCGCTCGCCTTTCAGCCCCAGGCCCTCGTCGAGGCCGGCTTCTCGCAGGCGCATGTCCTCTCGGAAGCCTCGGCGGCAACGGCCAGAACCGCCTCGCTGCCGGCCGCGCAGCAGACGACGGCAGCGGCGGCCCACGTGCCGCGGCCTCGGATGAGGTCGAGCGTAGCGGCTCAGTCTCGGGGTGGAACGTGGAGCGGGGCAGCTGCAGGGCGGACGAGGTCGAGCGCAGCAGCTCAGCCTCACGATGGAACTGGACAGGCGCAAGGCGTCGCTCAATCAGGAGCGGCCAGGACGGGGGTGTCCAAGAGGTGGGGTGCAAATCATGACCGGCGGCATGTGCGCGGCCCAGCGGGGGGGCCAGGGACGTCATGAAATAAGAAGAGGCGCCATGAAATCTGGGAAATATCATGGCCCCCGCCATAATATCCACCCCCTCCAAGTCATCACCCCACTCTTTTCCGCCCCCGACTCAAGGCGGCCGCGCATGCCCCAGCGGCCGCCGGGACGGAGCGGGCCGAGCCCTTCAAGCGCGACGTCGTGCCCCTCATCGCCGCCCGTGACGGCCAGCACGGAGCCAGCGGGCGTGACGGCCACCGCCGCCTCGGGCACGTGCTACTGGACGCGGAGGACTTGCCCTATGGCTCTCGGCCGGCCCGTTGCGCAGCAGCTCTGCGGGCAAGGACTCTCACGGCGAGGACAAGGCCGATGGAGCAGGATGCCCCCGACAAGCTCGACCGATGGAGGACAAAGATGAGGGGCAGGATGACGATAGCATCGAGGACGGGAAGCAGTAGAAGGGGCATCGGGGACGAGCAACTCACAACGAACACAGCACACCCTTCGGATCCGTGTCCTCCTCCTCCTCCCCATCGAGGAACACAGGGACGGGAGCAGCAGGAAGAGGAGGAGGAGGTGGAGGAGGGCCCTTGACATCGATGCCATAAGCGCGCAGCGTGCAAGACGAAAACCAATATCAATCGGACGAATTGTGATAGTAACAGTGAGAGAGTCATGGGAGTATTAATCATAAGAGAAGGAAGAAGAGGGTGAGGAAGGGGGGCGAAGAGGAGGGGGAGGAGGAGGAGGAGGAGGACCCTCTTCCTCCTCGTCTTCCTTGACCAGTGGCCTCGGCCAGGTCCAGGAGCGCCTCGTAGCCCATGCTCGCCACGTCGGGGCTGCATAGGAACTCGTGCAGAGCCTGGTGAGCAACTGGGACCCTCAACGCCACTCTGGGAGAAAAGAATCGAGGAGAATAATGATGGAGAGGTTGACGGAAAGGAGGGCGCAGGGGAGGATGATGATGAAGAGGATGAAGAGGCGGATAAAATGTGAATGTTGTTGAGACCGAGTGGCTGAACTCTTGCCGTGTGCACTTGATCGTGGGCATTGGTAAATACTCGGGATGGGGCTGCACAGCGCCCTCGTGTTGACCTCGTGTGCGTAACCCGGAGAAGTTCCTATGACTGGTTTAAACTTAACGGGCGAAGAACGGTGTACAATAAATTCTTTTGCTGTCGGGGGCGCCTGTCCCAGGGCGGCTGGAAAGTTTATACCCTTACGGTGGCACCGTAGGGGTATCGGAGGTTGGGTGGTGAGATCGCAGTGTAACGGAGCCCCCCCGCCGGGAAATCGAGTTTCGAATTCGTGCTCGTGCCGTGCGTGCGGGCGAGGCGAAGCTGCGTGGGCCAGCGAGAGGAATTCACTCTGCTGTCGCTAGGGGTCCGCCAACACAAATGTTTCCCCCCCCGGCCTTGTCAAGCGGTAGCCCACGTTGTCCCGTCGGTTGCCCGTCGGTTGCCCACGTTGTCCCGTCGGTTGCCCGCAGTTGTCGTCATGAGCCAACCCCCTCCCCCCACCCCCCCACAACCTCCTTATCACCCGCAGGGTGGTCGTATAGGTAAATTTTCCAGCCGCCTAGGGGCAGGTGTCCCCGACGGCGGAAAGTTTATTTTATACCGTTCTTCGCTCGCTGATAAACTGGTGGCAACCGCTCGCAGCTGAGGCCGCAAACCAAGGGACAGCGCGTGAAGGATGCGCCTTCCATGCCTGGCGCTCGATGGAAGGGGAGGGGGCAATTGCCCTCGAGGGAGAGCGAGACGTCCCTAGCAGAATCAACGCCTCCCTCGCCCACGTGGGCCCCTGCGGCGTCCCCAATCATACGCCTCCTCCTCCTCCTCCTCCTCCTCCTCGCCCTCCTCGCATCGCATCGCGTCTGGGTCTCGGAACTCCAGGATTGCCACCCCGTGCCGAGGCATTTCACTAACAGTAAAGCACGTAAGCAAGAGGCCTCCTCCTCCTCCTCCTCCTCCTCCTCCTCCTCCTTCCTATCCCGCTGTCCCTCGCTCCCTCCTCCTCCGTTTTCCTGTCAATTCACCTCCGCATTATGCCGCGTTAGCCCCCCCCCCCCCCCCCCGTATTGCCCAACAACCAAATTGGGTGACGGGTACGACATGTACGTCTGTACACATGTGCCAGCGTGGTGTCACTCATGCGGTCGCTCCCTCTCCCCAACCCCTACCCGGGTGACGGTTCGATCCGTGCCGCCGCGGCGTCACATGTGCCGCCGTGGTGTCACTCATGTGGTCGTTCCCGCTCCCCACACCTTACCCGAGCACCTCAAGGACTGTAAACCGCAGGCTGGGGCACTCGGAGGTCCTCGGAGGTGTTCCTTGGAGGTTTCAGGAGATCCTTGGTGGCTGTTGGCGGTTCCCTGAGGTGTTCGGAGCCCTCTGGAGGTATTCGGAGGTCGCGGGAGTTCTTCTGAGGCTCTGGTGGTCTGCGGTGACGCCGGTATAATTTGTTTGATTTGCCAGCTATCTCCGGGGGCCTTCGAAGCGGAGCTCTGGCCACGCAATGCTCTGCCTGGCCACCTGCCTCTCGCGGTCACCGGGGGCAACCGACAGTTCCCTGTCAGTAAACCATATGACACTCTGCCGCCACGTGCCAACCGCCACATCAGTACACCAAGGTCGGGTAGAAACAGGTGGCGGGTCAAAAGATGAGCAGCGGAAGCCATGGATGGCGCTCTCTGCTGGCGGAGGGCGGTGGTGAGCACGCGGACGGCCGTTGAAGTAAAGAGCCTGGCTTCTTCGCCCGCGCGCCCGTCCTCCTCCAACATGGGCTTCGTGCCTTCCCAGGTGGACTGATTCGGGGGATTTTGATTCGGGGGATGCCTGCCCCTGTTCGGGTTTGCTCTCGGCGGGGCGCAGCTGTCCCTGGGGTTGGGGGCGCAACACGCTGGTGCCTGAACGTTGCGTGCGCACTGGCTGTCCCCCCCGTGGGATACCGAGTGCGCAGGGCCTACTCAGTTTCGGTGTCGAAACTGCGTATGGCGTTTTTGTGTGTTCACCCTTTCCCTGTCAGGGCTTCCCGCCTCAGGACCAGCAAGTACAGTAGACAGTTCGCGATACGTGCGCACTCGTTATCCCCCCCGTGGGATAGCAAGTGCGCAGGGCCTATTCAGTTTCGGCATCGAAGCTGTGTATGCCGCTTGTGTGTGTTCACCCCTTCCCTTTCGAGACTTCCCGCCTCAGGACCAGCAAGCTGGGCCTGAGCGCTGGCGACTGGGACACTCTCTTCCCTTTCCTACTTGGCGAGGACCATCATAGACCTCAGCCACTCCAGTGGGGACCAATCATAGGCACCACCCCCTCGGCAGCTGCCATCATAGGGGCTGCCAGGGGTCCCGCTCCCATTCTTGACACTGTCACCTTACGGCGCCATTGCAGATGGAGGGGGCCGAGGCTCTCCCTGCGGCCCCCCGGCCAACGAGGACGGCCGTATGGAGGGGTGCCAGCGCACCTCCACAACTCAGACCTTCAAGACCCTACGGCGCCAACTGCCACCATTCACCGTTTTCCGCCACCGCGCCTCGCACTGGTCCACGTAGGGGATGTGGCGCAGCAGGGCCCCGAAGTAGGCCTGCAGCTGGCCCGCCCTTGCCGCCAGGAAGCGCTGGTCGCGCTGCCCGAACAGGATCTGCCTCCGCCAGGAGTGAGGGGAGGAGGAGGAGGAGGAGGAGGAGGAGGAGGAGGAGGAGGAGGAGGAGGGGAGGAGGAGGCGGGGAGGAGGAGGAGGAGAGGAGAGTGGAGGTGGAGGTGGAGGAGGAGGAGCAGGAAAATTGGAGACGAGGAGGAGGAGGAGGCGAAGAAGAAGGAGAAGGCGGAGGAATGTTGAAGAGATGGAGGCGGAGGAGGAGGAGGAGGAGGAGGTGGAGGAGGAGGGGTGGAAGAAACCAAACATGTATGAGCGATGCTGCAGCGCACCCTTCCGTCACACGTCCCTCCTCGTGCGCCCTTGCGAACCCTCCTTTTCACTACAGGAGGCGCACCCCTTCAAATACCAACACGCCTGGGCCTGCCATCTTGGCGAGAACCCCAGTCGGCAAACGCATTGCCCTGCATTTCTCCGACGCGCCATCAGGCACGCGAAACCTGGTTATACACAGTTCAACGAGGTGTCCAGCGTTACGTTGCTCCCATCGCACTTAAGGACCACATCCCAAAAATAATTTCGAGCACCAGTAAAAGTGCCGAAAGAGTGTCGAAGCAGTGTCTCCCAGGGCCCGACACGTGAAAACCAGCGAGTGTCGGTACTTTTCTGGTGCTCGGGATTCTTTCTGGTGGTCAAAGGCTACAGTGGGTTGGCACACCAGACGTCCAACGAGATCCCCCGTTCGAGGGACTGCCCCCTGTCCGTGCAACTGCCGCACCAGCGTGCACACGTAGCCGTACTTTGCGCGCCAGCTCCGTTGAAAACACGGGCCGCCCTGGAGCCGTGCAGCCCGCCTTACCTTGGAGCTCCGGGCCGTCAGGCGCAGCTCGGCGAAAGCGTAGGCGATGCCTGCAGTTTAAAGTTCCGGTCCTCCATCCTGCGAAGCCTTGCCCCAGAACGCGGATGCACGCGGCGCCGAGGCGAGAGCGACATTTCGAAAGCGGCCAGTGCGCAAGCCTTGCGGTGCAGTGCCCTGCAGCGGAGGTTCGCCGTGGCCCTCAGGCGAGCACAGCATGTTGAAACAGAAGCGCCCTCCATCCGTGGAACGGTCGCCAGAGATTGAGACCAGTGTGCGCGGCGTAGGAGCAAGAACTCCGTTTTGAGAGCGGCCCGCCCTCCGTCTGTAAAGCTCCTTCGCGCTTGAAGAGCGAATATGTGCGCGGCGCTACGGCGAACACAGCGTGTTGAAAACGACACCCCCCTCCAGCCCTGAAACTGTTGCGAGCTTTTTGGACGGGTGTGCGCGGCGCCAGGGCGAGAAGAACATCAAAACAGCCACCCGCCGCCCATCCGTGGAGCTGCTGCAAGCTTTTCGGACGAGTGTGCGCGGCGTCCAGGCGAGACCCGCATTTTGAAAACGACCCCCCTCCATCCACGACGCTGGTGCAAGCTTTCCAGACGGATGTGCGCACCGTTGAGGCGAGAGCCGCACTTTGAGAACGACCTCCCTAATCAAGCCGCGAGGCTGTTGCGCACTCTCTGGGCGAACGTGCGCGGCGCTAACGGGGGGGAGCCGCCCTCTACCTGCGGGAGCTAGAGGAAACTCGTGAGACGAGTGTGCGCGGCGCCCAGGCGAGAACACCATCTGGAAGACCACCCGCCGTCCATCTCTGATGCTGCTGCAAGCTGCTTGGACGAACGTGCGCGGCGCTCAGGCGAAAGCCGCAAGTCGAAAATAACCCGCCCTCCATCAGTGAATCTGCTGCCACAGATTAAGACGACCATACACAGCCCCAGAGCGAGAACTCCATTTTGAGAGCGACCCGCCCTCCATCCATAAAACTGCCAAAGCAGTATGAGACGAGTAATCGCGGCACTACGGCGAGAACAACATTTTGAAAAGGAACCACCCTCGAAATCTTAACCTGCTGCGAACTGTTTAGTCCAGGGTGGGTGGCGCCATGGCGACAACACATTTCGAAAACGACCCTCATCCGTGAAACAACTGCAAATTATTCAGACGACTGTGCGCGCTAAGGCGAGAACCACGTTTTGGAAAAGAATCACCATCCGTCCGTGAAGCTGTTCCAGGCTTGGTAGACGAACGCACGCGGTGCTAAGGCAGAAGCTGGTGCAAACTGCTTGGACGAACTACACGAGCTAAGGCACGAGACACAATCTGGAAACGATTCACCCCTTCATGCGGGTTGCAAGCTTCTAGAAAGACCCCGTGCGGCGCTCAAGCGAGTGCTCAATTTTGACAGCGGCCCGGCCTCCATCCGCGAAGCTGTTGCAAGATACAATCCTCAGGATCAGAACAGGTGCAGAAGCCCCAGGCGAAACGCCGAGCTCGTCTTACCGACACGTCTGGGGGTGCGAGAGGGAAGAGTTATTACGAGGGATCGACGAGGAGATGGAGGAGGAGGAGGAGGAGGAGGAGGAGGAGGAGGAGGAGGAGGAGGAAGGATGATGAGGAACAGGAGGAGAGGGAGGATGAGGATGGATGATGAGGATTCTCAGAAGGGGGAGGAGGAGGATGGGCAGGAGGATGAAGAGGAGGAGGAGAGGAGGAGGAGGAGGAGGAGGAGGAGGAGGTACAGGATCAACTCGGCAAGAGGGCGTCTAGAACCACAGCGCCGTCTGCAGGGCAGGGGCGAGGAGGGAGGTGGGGCAGGGGGCAGGTTGGAGGGAAGAGGAGGAGGAGGAGGAGGAGGAGGAGGAGGAGGAGGAGGAGGAGGAGGAGGAGGAGGAGGAGGAGGAGGAGGAAGAGGAGGAGTCCATTCCATTCCACTCCCAGTCATGCCATGCTGCGACGTTCCAAGATTTGGCACTGGGTTGGGGGGGCTGCTCGGCAGCTTCCATCTCTCGAAAATGTGTGCGACTGAGGCATGCAGCGCTCTGAGACGAGGAGCGCTGGCGGAATGCCCTCTCTCTCGAGGGCCTGCGCGTGGTCGGCGCTGATCGAAGCCAGGAGAGGAGAGAGACGGCGTGCGGGCACTCCCTCCCGCTCCCCTTGCTGCTCCCCTCCGCTCCCAAACTCCCCGCGCCTGGGCTTCCTCCCTCGCCCCTGCCCCACCAGAAACCGAGGCTCGTCTCCTCCCCTCGAGCTTTCCCCCCTTTTCCCCTCGCCCCTCCCCTGGGCCAAGCTCTGGCTGGGCCCGAGGGACGATGGGGATCGTTGCCTGCGGCCGCGTCCGGTCTCCGTTTCTGGCCCGCTCGGGCTCGGCCCAGTCGTTCTGGGGATCCCGCCGAGGGAGGGAGGGAGGGAGGGAGGGAGGGGGACGGAAAGCGAGTGGGGCAAAGGAGAGGCGCAGAGGGAAGGGAGGGAGTGGGAGGGGAGGGAGGGAAAGGGAGGGATAGCGTGTTTCTGGGGGCTCGCTGGGGGGCAGGGAGGGGGGGGGGAGGGGGGGGGGGGGGAGGGGGGGGAAAGGATAAGGGGGGGGGGGGAGGGGGGGGGGGGGGGGTGGGAGGGGGGAGTAAAAGGAAGGAAGGAAGTGGAGGGAAGCGGTGGGGGATGGCAGAAGGGGGGTATAAGGGAAATAAAGAGCAGGAGGGGGCCATAGCCGCAGCAGCGAGGCCTCGCCTGCACGTCACCCTCGGCGGGAGGCTGGGCAGGCCCTCCCTCATGCTCGACACGCCCAGCATCTGGGCGAGCTGGCGGTGCAGCAGTGCCACCTGCGGGCAGCCGCAAGCAGCCACCAGATCCGCCGTGTTGGGGCTGGCGCCTCCCAGACGTTTACTGTTGATGCGCGTGTTGCTGCCGCGAATGAAAGCAGTGACCCCGCGAAGTGGACCCCAGAAGATGCCGACACGTGTGACGGTCTGTCTCTGCCCCAAAGAAAATCAACATTTGACAGGTTGGTGGCTCCCTGGTCCTTGCTGCTTCCAGCCCGAGGCCCCCTGGGAGGCACCGGCACTTGTACCCCTGCCCCAGACAGCTCTGGAAACGGCCCAAACGAATGTCCAGGCCATGCCGGATGGCCTCCATACATCGCAAGACCGCTCCAACATACAGAGTGGAGGAGGAGGAGGATGAGGAGGAGGTGGAGGAGGAGGAGGAGGACCAAGCAATTTGCTCTGCCCGTGAGAAAGAGATGATCAGCCAAGACGGGGTGCTGTGTTTCGAGGAGCAGGAGATCAGAGCGGAGAAGGGCTCTGGACCTCCTCGTTCGCGGGGGAGGATGGATAAACTCAACTGCCCCGATGCGCAACACGCAACCCGTGGCGTGTTGGCGCGGAGCTCAGCACGTAGACTGAAGACGCAGGTCTGGCGCGGCACGTTCGCCCATTCGCGGGCTACACGTTGAGCCAACACGCCACGTGCCAAGACGGACGTTTTGAACAC